TACCAAGAGATTCATAACCAAGTGGTTCCAATAGTCCATCAGTATGGAGTTTCTTCATGCGCTTTACACCGATATGACCTAAACGGCAGTGCCACAAATAAGTTGCACTATCATTATCAACTCTGTATCTTTTGGCTTCAACATTATGAATATGTGTATCACTACTATCGAGATTCATAAAAAATAGAACACTCTTCAAGGGTGCATGACTATAAAAGATATTACTCATATAAATAGAACAACCATTATTCTCTGATTTAAATGCATAACCGTCTCGCATCAAACAAGATCCAGATATAATGGTCATGCTCAATGCTGGCACCAAATAAGAATTATTTAGGTCTAATACTAATCCCGAAGGTAGATGCAGAGGTAGCGTGCCGACCGCGATCACATCGACTTTGGAACCATTTCCCATGCGCATCGTCACCTCGTCCTTCGCCAGTGTTCGCTTAATCCGTAGTCCCTGTTTTGAGTTGCAAATATTAGCAACAGAACCAGTATCAAATACCCAGGTGCTACTGCGAGCTCTAGTAAGGTACACATCAATAACATGTATATCACATATACCTTTTTTCACCTTGCCATCCTTCTTATCCGCCAAATACTTGAGGAAGTTCCGCTTCCAGTGACCAGTCTGCTTGCAGTTGAAGTACTCAGTTTCAGGCTTAGGTCCAGATTTGGGCTTCTTCTCCTGAGCAGCAACTTGCTTGCTGTTCTTCTTGAAGTTCCCCTTCTTCTTCCCTTTGCCCTTTTTCTTGAAACTAGTGGTCTTGTTTACCATCAACACTTGATGCTCCTTCTTGATTTCTACCTCCGCAGCCTTTAGCATTGCGAAGAGCTCAGGAATTGTCGCATATTATAGTTCATCACGAAGCTCTTGTAGCTTGGTGGCAGTGATCGGAGAATTCTGTCAATGACGCAATCATCCGGAAGATTAACTCCCAGTTGAATCAAGTGATTATTTATACCCAAACATTTGGGTATATGCTCACTGACATAACTGTTCTCCTCCATCTTGCAGCTATAGAACTTATTGGAGACTTCATAGCTCTCAATCCGGGCATTTGATTGAAATATTAACTTTAACTCCTGGAACATCTCATATGCTCCATGACGTTCAAAACGTCGTTGAAGACCCGGTTCTAAGCCGTAAAGCGTGGCACATTGAACTATCGAGTAGTCATCAGCTTTGCTCTGCCAGACGTTCTTAACACCGTCAGTTGCATTAGCAGCAGGCCTGGCACCCAGCAGTGCTTCCAGGACGTAATTCTTCTGTGAAGCAATGAGGATAATCCTCAAGTTACAGACCCAGTCCGTGTAATTGCTACCATCATCTTTCAACTTTGCTTTCTCAAGGAACGCATTAAAATTCAACGGAACAACAGCACGGGCCATCTATCTACAATCAAACATAAATAAGCAAGATACTATCAGGTACTAAGTTCATGATAAATTTAAGTTCAATTAATCATATTACTTAAGAACTCCCACATAGAAAGACATCTCTCTAATCTTTTAAGTGATCACGTGATCCAAATCAACTAAACCATAACCAATCATCACGTGAAATGAAGTAGTTTTCAATGGTGAACATCACTATGTTGATCATATCTACTATATGATTCACGCTCTACCTTTCGGTCTCAGTGTTCCGAGGCCATATCTGCATATGCTAGGCTCGTCAAGTTTAACCTGAGTATTCTGCGTGTGCAAAATTGGCTTGCACCCGTTGTAGATGGACGTAGAGCTTATCACACCCGATCATCACCTGGTGTCTGGGCACGACGAACTTTGGCAACGGTGCATACTCAGGGAGAACACTTTTATCTTGAAATTTAGTGAGAGATCATCTTATAATGCTACCGTCAAACAAAGCAAGATAAGATGCATAAAAGATAAACATCACATGCAATCAATATAAGTGATATGATATGGCCATCATCATCTTGTGCTTGTGATCTCCATCTCCGAAGCAACGTCATGATCACCATCGTCACCGGCGCGACACCTCGATCTCCATCGTAGCATCGTTGTTGTCTCGCCAATCTTATGCTTCTACGACTATCGCTGCCGCTTAGTGATAAAGTAAAGCATTACAGCGTGATTGCATTGCATACAATAAAGCGAAAACCATATGGCTCCTGCCAGTTGCCGATAACTCGGTTACAAAACATGATCATCTCATACAATAAAATTTAGCATCATGTATTGACCATATCACATCACAACATACCTGCAAAAACAAGTTAGACGTCCTCTACTTTGTTGTTCCAAGTTTTACGTGGCTGCTACTAGGCTTAGCAAGAACCGTTCTTACCTACGCATCAAAACCACAATGATAGTTTGTCAAGTTGGTGCTGTTTTAACCTTCGCAAGGACCGGGCGTAGCCACACTCGGTTCAACTAAAGTTGGAGAAAATGACACCCGCCAGCCACCTGTGTGCAAAGCACGTCGGTAGAACCAGTCTCGCGTAAGCGTACGCGTAATGTCGGTCCAGGCCGCTTCATCCAACAATACAGCCGAACCAAAGTATGACATGCTGGTAAGCAGTATGACTTATATCGCCCACAACTCACTTGTGTTCTACTCGTGCATATAACATCAACGCATAAAACCAGGCTGGATACCACTGTTGGGGAACGTAGTAATTTCAAAAGAATTCCTACGCACACGCAAGATCATGGTGATGCATAGCAACGAGAGGGGAGAGTGTTGTCCATGTACCCTCGTAGACCGAAAGCGGAAGCGTTATAACAACGCGGTTGATGTAGTCGTACGTCTTCACGGCCCGACCGATCAAGCACCGAAACTATGGCACCTCCGTGTTCTAGCACACGTTCAGCTCGATGACTATCCCCGGACTCTGATCCAGCAGAATGTCGGGGAAGAGTTTCGTCAGCACGACGGCGTGGTGACGATCTTGATGTTTTACCGTCGCAGGGCTTCGCCTATGCACCGCTACAATATTATCGAGGATTATGGTGGAGGGGGGCACCGCACACGGCTAAGAGATCAATGATCAATGGTTGTCTCTATGGGGTGCCCCCCTGCCCCCGTATATAAAGGAGCAAGGGGGAGGTGCGGCCGGCCTAGGAGAAGGCGCGCCGGAGGAGTCCTACTCCTATCGGGAGTAGGACTCCCCCCTTTTCCATGTTGGACTAGGACTTGGGGGGAAGGAGAGAGAGAGAGGGAAGGAAAGGGCGGCGGCTGCGGCGGGAGTGGCGCGCGGCTGCCCCTTGGCCCGCCTCTCCTCTTCCTTCACTAGGCCCATTAAGGCCCAATAGCCTCCGGGGGGGGGGGGTTCCGGTAACCCCTCCGGCAATCCGGTAAAATCACATTTTCACCCGGATCACTTCCGATATCCAAACATAGGCTTCCAATACATCAATCTTCATGTCTCGACCATTTCGAGACTCCCCGTCATGTCTGTGATCACATCCGGGACTCCGAACAACCTTCGGTACATCAAAACATATAAACTCATAATGAAACTGTCATCGTAACGTTAAGCGTGCGGACCCTACGGGTTCGAGAACAATGTAGACATGACCGAGACACGTCTCCGGTCAATAACCAATAGCGGAACCTGGATGCTCATATTGGCTCCTACATATTCTACGAAGATCTTTATCGGTCAGACCGCATAACAACATACGTTGTTCCCTTTGTCATCGGTATGTTACTTGCCCGAGATTCGATCGTCGGTATCTTAATACCTAGTTCAATCTTGTTACCGGCAAGTCTCTTTAATTAGTCTATGTTATAGTAATGTAATTGATGAGTTATGCATGCGTGCGCAGTTTCCACTATATTCTCCTAGAGATTAAGCTTGAGCAGGGACTAGTAACCGTCTTAGACTCGAGACGAAAAGATCCCCAGGAGTATGCGAACATGACTTAAATCCTCGAGAAGTAAGTTAAATCGATCATTATCCACCATATCAGCAACTTTGTTCATTTCCTGATATCAAGTAATTGTTTCCTTTGTCTGGCAGGGTTTGGAGAAAATTCACCAAAAAAGCTCCGGGACTGACGAAGAAGCTGCAATTTAGATACCCGAAAGTAAGTATTATAGTAGCATGTTCCGCGCGTCTCCTAGTGATTCAAGCGCTAGTTTCATCAATACCATTTGGCATGCTTTCTTATCAGTTTGATTGACCTCTATTTCTTGTAAAGTGGTTGTGGCATGATCAAGGGAATAATTTATGTGGATACTACGTTTGCGAGTCCATCCGCTACACGACATGTGAACGGGGGTACACTGAAGAACAATATGAAGTGCGTAAGTAATAATATTCACAATTTTATTTTATTACCATCATTTGTGTTGAGTTTCATTTATTCATATATATATATGTATTGACCTCCTTCTTCAAATTAGATCTTTCGGATGCGTGATGAACTCCTACCACCAGATCGTATGCGAGCAATTCAAGAGGAATTGGCGGCATTCTTCCTTGACCACGTGATCGCTCAAGACGGAGAATACCATGTGGAGCTTGACTTCGTATATGTAAGAGATAATTATTGTATATATGTAGCCGGTAGTGTCGGATAGATATACAAGAACTTGTTGTTCGACCAATCTCTCAAAGAAGGAGAGGTGGTCGATATCACTTCTCTCTGTATGCATATATGTTCATGACGATCTTTTTTTTCCTTCGTTAATTTGCTTACTAGCTAGCTAGCGTGTCTAGTCTTCTCTATACGTAAGAGAGGACACTTCTCTCTATTAATTAGCTATAGCTATAACACAATATATGAAAAACCTAAATTAACCCCCCAAAACCCCCAACCCCCCCCCCTTTCAAAAACAAAAACAAAAACCACAGACCCTGAAATACTGACGCGTGGATGCCTATTGGTCCCGGTTGGTGCCACCAACCGGGACCAAAGGCCCTCCTGCCTGGGCTCGGCGCACCGGCCACGTGGAGGCCCATCTGTCCTGGTTCTGGACTGAACCGGGACTAAAGGGCTAGGGCATTAGTAACGACCCTTTAGTCCCGGTTCAGGAACCGGGACAAAAGGCCCTTACCAACCGGGGCTAATGGTGGTTTATCTACTAGTGGTGCAAGTGGCAATCCATCACATTTCTTTGCAAGCTTTCTCCCAAGCTTTTCAAACTCGTCCACATCACGTATGGTAGACCTTTTGTATGGTGGTAAAGCTTTGCTGCTAAAAAGTTCCCAACTTTTCTCTTCATCTAACTTCTTCAAATGATGAACATGGGTTGGCATCTGAACATGATTTGCGACATCTTCCTTTCGTGTGGTTAACAGCACTCTACTACCATTAGTTTCATCTGGAAATACTTTAATCGTTCCGTTTAATTGCTCCCATGTATCTGTTTCCCAAACGTCATCAAGAACTACTAGATACCTTTTTTGTGACAGAAATTCATTGATCTTCTTTCCCACCTCATACTCCTTCATTTTGTCAACTGAGTCGTCCTTGTGCCCTGTGATTTGTTTCATAATATCTTTTAGCAAATCAACACCCTTGAACTTTTGAGATACAGTCACCCAAGCAAGTGTGTCAAAGTGCTCCTTAACTCTAGATGAAGTGTAGACCTTTCTAGCAATTGTTGTTTTTCCTGCCCCGCTCATGGCAACTATAGACACAACACTAAGCATTTGTTCTCCGCAAACTAATTTATTTGCTAATTCTTTGTGCTCGTCCTCAAAACCAACCATGGCGACATCATCTTCAAAGTTTCCATTCATAGGGCTACAATCTCGCAGAAACTCATCCTCGACAACAACAATATTATCCAATTCAATTTTCAGATGATCCGCACTTGCAAAAATCTCCTTGATCTTCCTTTTTACACGTTGAATTTCAGCACCGATTTTACGAAGGGTTACCAAGTCATTCGGCAATCTAGCATACCTTGAAATAGTGCCCATGAATCCCTTCTTGAGCCTGTTTCTTTTTTCCATATAATCTGCAGCTTCGATGACATTCTGAGCTTCATAAGCCGCAGTCCTAATCTGGCTCACCAAGACTGCAACTCTTGCATTTCCTGATCTCCACTTGCTATCAACATCTTTGAGGTAGGCCTTCAACCTCATCAGCTCATCTTTCAACAACTGTGTAGATACTCACAGATCGCAGAGTAACTGGCTGTCGCGTGCACCAGCTGTGTCGCCGCCGGCTTCGTCCACCAGCTGTGTCGCCGCCGGCTTGGCCGTGCTCTCGTTTCTTCCTCTCTGGCAGTAGAAAGAGTTCCCTTGCGTAGTTCAGGTACAAATGAAGCTTCGATTTCCCTTGAGTGTGCCTGTGGCTGTGAGTGACGAGCTGATCCAGAAGTCTAGATCTTTTGAGGTACCAGTATGTAATCAGGAATGAATCTTCAAAGTTGGACAAGTCGTTCCGATGTTGCTCTCAACCAGCACTAGTGTCTGTTCAACAACTAGCTCTTCGACGGAGACAGGATATGCAGACTAGTCATCTAACAGCAAGACATGGTTGGTGATCGCAGAGTAACTGGCTGTCGCGTGCATCTGATAAGAGTGTAGATACGGGTTGGGTGGTTCAAAATTAGCAAGGAAATACCTGCTAGAAAAGGGCAACCTAATAATTCGCAGAACCTGTCTCAAAATGCAGAAATTTATGGCATGGTTCAGTTAATCTCTCTGGAAAAAGCAAAGGTTCCTCTACCTGGCTAGGACCCTCTGCAGCTAGTGCCGTGTCGGCCCTACTGCACTATTCTGAAAGAGGTTGTCACTTGTGTTTGAGTTTGGCCTGGCCAGCAGGCAAGCGAAAAAGAAGAGCGACATACAGCCAAATACAGAGTCATTGTGGCTTGGATTCACTTCTACCTGGTAAAATACTTCGACTAGGTAAAATAAACAAAAAATCACGGCTCTTGTGCTCAAGGCAGCTGATTGTATTGCCCGGTTGGCATATAGCCAACCAAAGCGTGATCAAGCCAACAATCAGATAATACTTCATTTTTCTTAAATTTGGGACAACTGTTTCTCAGTTCACGTCCGGTCAAATTTGGGACAACTGTTTCTCAGTTCATAAGCACTTCAGTGACAACTCCATTACATTAACGATTAAATAATTTTCTATTTTGAGAAGTGAGCATATAACAGGCTAATAATCTAACGTCACAAAGCTCAACTACTGGGTCGGGTTGTGAACAATACAAAGGCATATATTTTAAAAAATACGAAAAACTTGTTACAGTAGTACTATTACTTACAAATGGAAGTGTATGTTCTCTGAGCAAACTGCAACTTTCTAGAATATTTGTTTTTTTGACAATCAGTGTTCAGTTTAGAATCCACGGGGAGTGTTGTGTTATAGAATCATCAGGTAGCTGGCACCTGGCAGCCTGCTACCGTAAATTGGTGAAACGATTTGAGCCAGCTACATAATGACATGGAACACAAGTATGAGAAATCGGAAACTTCTTTTCCTTTGGCACAAAGCCAATACAAATTCCAGCCCCTGATATTAGTGAATCCTGTTGAGAATGAAGAAGATGCTACATGCAAAAGTATAATTACTTTTATATGTCAGAAAATAGACCGCAAGTAGACACTGTTTCACATAGCACAAAGTGCTTGCAAGGCAAGAAATCCATCAAAAAATGAAAAAAACAAATGAAGAAAAAAGTTTAGAAAGTTGAACCATCTCAATAAACAAAGGAAGAAATATAAAGGAGAAAATTCAATAGTCAGTACAAAAGAATAGGTCTCAGTATAACATAAACTATGTACATCCAAATTGCTAGGGAGATCCTCTGCTAGACTACTCCTGCAAGGACGGCCAGCATGCTGCACCCCTTACTTCTAAACACATGAAGAACTCAACATGTATGTGCTGAATGAAAAGATCCTCATGAAAAGTTAAAATATTCGATCAAGGTTTACCTTTAACTACATCCTTCTGAAATGTCATCATTTGCATAGAATCTTCACTCTAGCAACATTGTATCATACAGAGATCACATTTTTCATGACAAACACCCCTCACAATAGAAAATCTATATCAGAGTAGAAATTATAGGTAGCCTTGATGAGAATATATGGTTACGATAGAGGAGATTGTCCGAGCTCTAGAAGTTCCAGCAAACGGTAGACCTCAACCTACTATCCAACCAAGATGGTAGCCACCAGTTGTAGGATGGGTGAAAATCAATACAGATGGAGCTACGGACTCGGAGCATGGAAAAGGTGGAGCGGGTTTTGTCGTCCGGGACCACCAGGGGGCGTTCGTGAGAGCGGGGTGTTCACGTTACGATGGAGTTACAGACCCCCTCACGATCGAGCTTCTCGCTTGCAGAGATGCGCTAGCAACAGCGCAGATTTTAGGGCTTCAGTATGTTGAGGTGGAGACGGACTGTCAGCAAATTCAGAGTCTATGGAAAACTCCACAGAAGTCGAATTGTTTCCATCTCATCAGAGAGATGCAGGATATGAGTAATCTTCTTCAGGGATTCAAGCTACGGTTCGCTAGCCGTCGTACAAATTCAGCAGCCCACCGTGTAGCTAGGCATGCTTTAAAGCTTTCTGTATCTATGCTTGTGTTCGATGTAATCCCTGGATGGCTGTCTCCACCGTGTAGCTAGGCATGCTTTAAAGCTTTTTGTATCTATGCTTGTGTTCGATGTAATTCCTGGATGGCTGACTGAAATTATAGTCAGACATGCTAGCGCCTAATGAATAAAGAGTCGAAAGGGCGTTTTTAGCTTTAAAAAATGCATTTTATCTTGTACAGAGAGCTAAACGGGCGGGGCCAACTTGGAGGAAGGTGTGCTTTAACACGTTCACGGGCGCATGGGGCATCGAATAGGAAATGCCGGCCAGGGCCTCCAGGTGTCACGAGCGGCTGAATCAAGTTGGGCCAGAGGAGACACACCGCATCTCTTCTCCCGCCGCTGGCGAAACCCCACCTCCTCCTCCGCCCACACTGCTCGTCAAAACGCATCAGTGGTGCCCCTCCGGCCACCGAGAGCGGCGGCAGCACCCAAGAGTCGCGGTGGCTGGTTTCCCTTTGTCATTTCGTACGTGACGCCCCCGCCCTCCTCTACTCTCTTAATTTCTCCTCCCACCATAAACCTTGAAACGTTTATCCTATTGTCAATTCTCTGAATTTGTCTGGTCCATACTCTGAATTTGTGCGGCGAAAGGAAACATTTGGAGCTATTTAATTTTTTTTATCGGACTTTCTTTTTCTCAAATAAGGGCTGCAGCGTACGTCACACGAACAGAAATGGCTGCAGCTTAATCCACCAAATGTGTTAGTTATCCAGTCTCCGGTCTGACCGCATGCAAAAAATATGTTGATTCAACCCTTCTTGACAGGCTTGCACTATCAAGGAATTTTGATGCGGGCGTTAGCGTCAGTACCAGTGATTCCGAGGTGTTCAGGTGGGACAGCAATCATCAGCCATAGCCAACTAGCGTCAAGACTCAAGAGATGCAGGATGGGTGAGCACTGCAAATCTATTAATTTGGTAATGATGGCGTGAAAAAACATCCTAAGGGCAACTCCAACGCACGACCCCTGTTGAAGTAATCCAAACTTTCTTGCGTGCTAGTTGTTTGAGTTTGGTTAGGATTAGCATAAGTGTGATCAAGGTCGCCGGATGATTAGGTAGTAGTCTAGACCGGTTTGGAGTAGTACACGTGCAATGTCCTCACCGTCTGCGTAGGGTGTTTCTGCAGCAATACCAACATATTTGTTCCTGGTCATCCATTGAAATGTACCAGGATTATACATCTGACCCAATTTACTCGTTCCTTTTTTTGGTTCGCTTGTGGGTTAAACTTTAGGAGGCACAATTGTAAAAGATGTGTGAAGAAAAGCAAAACAAAATGTGATTCCGATTGCCCTTGACTTGTTCGTTGGTTCCAGTGCACAGACCATTTATCTGTGTGAATCATTCATGAGTCCTGCTTCGCTACAACCCCCACATAAAACGTATAAAGGGTAATCTGGACTTTTCACATGGTATACCCACTTTGGACGTATGATAAGTTGTATGTACGCTGTATGTACTCCTATTGGCCCGGCCCAAGAAGGTGGCCGCAGTAGCGGTCGCACCTAGGGCAGCGATATAATAATCGCTAAAAAGGGAATAAAGAGTGACATCACAACGATTCGAACTCTGCGCCTCTAGCTCAAAAATTCCAGCTGCTAACCAGCTAAGCTCAGATGCGTTGTTGACAAATAAATGGCGCGTCATTTTAAGAACTAACTACAATGGAGAATCCGGGTAGTTTTTGGACTTTTTATATTGTTCTTGGAAAATCGTGATTTTTTTAAATGAGTAATGTTTGAAAATCCAACAATTGTTTCAACAACTCTAACAAACTTTGAAAAATCATGTTTTTAGAAACAAGCCTTTTATGACAGGAACCATTTTTTAAAATCCTAAACATTTTCTGAAAACATGCTGACATTTTTGGAATTTACAAAACAAAACTTGTTAACGGGAGTATTTTCGAAATTCTGAACAATTCTTCAAAAGCGCGAACATTTTTTGATTTTTGAGAAAAAAAATCTAAACAGGAACATTGTGAATAGTTTTCACAAAACAATAACCGGCAAAAAGGGTCCGTATGAGAGCATGTTTTTTCGCATCGTCAAATGACCCCATTAATTTTCCATGAACATATATAACCAATTCGAGACACCATGCCTACTTGTTTGAGTTTTCGAATTTTTCTGCATTTTCTGGAGTTTTCTCGGTGAAAAGCGACCAATAAATGGACGGAGGTGGCGCAACTTGCATAAGGTGTCGAAAATCATTCAAACCTGACATGAATGCCTATCATGTGCATGACCACCCGATAGAAAAAGTTGGAGTCATTTCATGCATGTCCAAAAATAAACCATGTTTAACATTTGTTCGGGCAGGCGAGAAGGGTCTGTATGAGAGTACGGGGACATTTTGTGAAATTCCAGATCAATTTTTATAATTTATATTGAGAAAAACTTAAATGGCCAATTCAAGGCATCATGCCAAGTTGTTTGAGTTTTTGACAAGTCTTGCATATTCTAGAGTTTTCTTGTTGAAAAATGGCTGATAAATGGCCGGACATGATGCAACTTG